TTCCACTCGGTGTCTGCTTCGGCGAAAATCGCTCGCCGTGGTAACCTATCTGCGGACATGCGTAGCACACGTCCCAACCATGGCCAGACTGGCATACGAGTTATCCAGAAATGCTTGCAACTTACCTGCATCTTCGCTTAGTGGCACAATGTCATCTGCATACTCCAGATAAGACAGTCTGCCACCTGGGAGTAAATCGATGTCATTTTCCTCGCACGAAGATAGGGCTGTTTCCATAATCAAATCTATAACAAAGTTAAATGGGAATGGAGAGAGAGAGGGCAACCCTGACGAACACCACTTTCTGTGGTGAACTCGGGCGAAAAGGTGCCGTAAGCCCGGACTCGACTTCGGCTATTAGTATAAAGCGATCGTAATATTGAAATAAACTTCTCGGGCACACCCTTCAGGGAAAAGCAGCGCCAGAGTTTAGAGCGGTTGACTGAGTTCAAGGCCGCTTTCAAATCGAGAAAAACAGAGATGGTGGGTCTACGAAAGGAATGTCGGTGGTCCAGAATTTGGCGAAGAGTGAAGATGTGATCGATACAACCTCGACCGGGTCTAAAACCAGCCTGGTTCTCACGCGTGCACTGTTCACGTGCGGCAGACAATTGGCGGAGTATGATGCCAGCGAGAAGTTTAAAGACGCAGTTGATTAAACTAATTCCTTTATGATTTTCACAGGAGGACCAGTCGCCTTTCTTGTAAATCGGCATGATTACCGGTTCACACCATTCAACTGGAACCTCTTCCCTTTCCCATACTGAACGCAGGAGTTTTGTCAACTTCAACACTAATGCTGAGGATCCATCCTTAATCGCTGATGGGAATAGACCATCTGTGCCAGACGCCTTATGCCTTGAGATCTTATGGCAAAATGCGATCTAGAAATCACCTACGATGGATTTACGTGTCGCTCCATCTACAAAGAAACGTCCTACGCGTAGGAAAAAGCGAACATAAGTTTGCCGATCAACACCTCGATGCCCATTATTAACGTTCTCTTACTCCGTTATGATCTTATCGCTCATTTGCCAAACCTTCAGGTGTATGAGTCAGATACAATACATGGAGAAAAAACAGATTTTTTAAAATATTTGTGCGTAGCTTGCGATCACTAACAGGAAATATTCAAATGGACATATGTGCCATGTATAACACCTAGCCGTATAGAAATCCCTGTGGGACACATATGAAGACACGGTGGCGAGATGAGGGTATGTGGTGACCAGGTCTAAATTAAGTGTCACGTGACTTAATTGACGTAGAGTGTAAGTGGAGACTGCAAATTTTTATGACAAGCCAAAGGATGGCCAAATAGCATCTAGTCTGAAAAAACGTATGCCGTGCAAAATGCTTCTTATTACAAGAAAACGGTGGTTTAAAAAAGGTTGATAAATGTAATGAGAATGTTACACTTCAGAGGTTTCGGAAATATACACTATGGATGACAGACGGTTAAAATGAAAATGCTCCGCCTCATGTGGAGCACCAGAGTGAAAAGGTGACACTTTTGAATACACAGCCATAGGTAAATCTCTAGTTAACAACACTCGTGGGACGCAGTCCACTTTGAATCACACGACCCGAAAACCACCCCTATCTGGGGTGGCTTTTGAATCGCTGCGACGCACACAACCCGCCTCACATTTCTGTCGAACGTTACTCCATGTTCTTTCCTGCAGGTTTATTGATGAACTCAGCAAGAACATAGGCCAGTCTACAGTGAGGATATACGTTTCGGGTAACTGCGAGAATTGTTCTGCGGATAATTAGTAACAAAGTCAGTGGTTTTAAAAGTACATTTTCGCAGTTTTAATTTCGCTTCGATGTCCCTGACAGTTGTGACAACGATATATATATATATATGCAATTACCGAATTTTCAACTTTGCTACGATCGACATCCAACCTTCGTCGATTAAAAAG